GCTGGATGTTCTATAGCTATGAAGGTACATGCACATTTAAAAAATCGCACACGAGTCATGCCGTGTTTTAATTCAGTGATGGCCTGTAGATTGTATTCCATGCTTTAAAACGGCCAATCCGACGTCTGTAATCCACTGCTCTCATGCGTGCAAATTTTCCACGTGGCAAAAGGTGAACAGGCACAGACCTACCTAGATCTGTTCCTGAATCGGCCTTCACCTAAATACCGATGCATAATTTTGCGACTAACTGAGTTACCTAATCATATTGACCGTTTAGCTTAGTCTACTTTCTCGAACAATTATCGTAGGGTTGAATGTGAATTCTGTCTGACTAACCACATGGACTGATGCAGCTATCAGTTGAAAGCATAATTATGCATTTGAGTGATTCAACTTTGAGTTGAGCACTTATGTCTATCTGCGCTTCGAATTCCTGTTACATAAGGGGGGTTTTGAGACTGTCCGAATTTGGAGTAGCTGGAACAAAGCTCACACTTACTCAGCCGATTGACAGGTGTGGGAATCTACACACCTTGAAGTGAAACACTTTTCCGTCGAACTAACTACGCAAGACATGGTGTAATTCAGAGACAGAGTGGACATGCCAGACAAAGCGAACCGAATGTGGATGACCCAAATTATAGAGGAATGACGACGGTGAGGGATCGAGAGCTCTTGCGATTAACCCAACAGTCCCTTGCAGGTTGAAATGATTTTTGGACACGTACACATCATGTTTAAACTGGTATGCCTGCTCAACACAGACTAACTAACTAACTAACCAACTTTGCTTAAAGATCCGGTTTCGATCGAGCTTTGTGTAACAAACACACCCGCATCCACAATACAACACAACAGGTTGATGCAATTAGCCCATCGATTGCGAAGACAATCGGCAACGACGAGTTGACAGGTCGTGTGAGAATGAGCCTTGAGAATTGCGATCCAGAAAGACACCGCTGTACAGACCCGACCGTGCATGCGTCAAATTTCATTTGACTAATGCACCTTATCAATGTTGGTTTGCGTCGTGGCTAAGCCCTGGTGACACAATTAGACGTGTCTATTTGGTGGATGGATTATTCTGGGGTGCTAGAACTACCAGACGCTCATTTAGTGAGCGTCGCATCACAGTGGAAAGGCGGATTAGCTTGAATACCTCGGTGGAAAAGCAGTTGCACGGTGTCCAAAAAGGCTTTTGCCCAACTGGTTGCCGAAATTCATGGACAAGATTTCAGTGTCAAGAAGGGTGTACATGACTGTCATCTGAGGCATGAAGTAGGAAGCAGGGGGTAGCGGGGATATAAAGATATTCTTTTATTATTTGATAGACTGAAATTTGTGCAGGTGTGTATATCCGTATATCTGTGTATACGCTTATATACATCCAGACTGTGCATATTAGCTTTCAACTTCAAGGTGCCTTACCACAGCCACCAGTGTCACATTTTCAGACTTTCATTGACATATTACTTCTGAATAAACGGCCCTATCCATCGATTTTCTAAACGACCGATTCTGTGCTTTGGAAATTCCACTCCGACAAACTCCTACCGATCAAAACTACGAAACGCCCTTAGTTTAGCGCATCCAATTATGCATCAACAAACTTCTTTGATTCGTTTTTCATTGACAATAGAATACCCTCTTATAACAACAGGAGATTTCAACGCATCAGTAGATCAGAATCACACTTTGCTTGAATGTTTCGCCTGAACGCAAAATGCAGTGATGCCGGTAAACGTCTTTTGAAAATCTGTATTGCTCACTAGTTATTTCTCATCAGAAACGTTTTTAGACACACTGGTAGTCGTTGTGCCACCTAGCGTCCTCTTACCATCGAGAAGGTTCGGAAACAAACTGACTACATCGCCATCAGCTGCCGTGACGCGTTGACCACCCCGATGGCGTCGTTTAGCTCCTGACCACCAGTCGTTTTGAAGCACACAGTTTGATTCAGGTCCTCCAAGATTTTTATTAAATTTTCCCCGCAAACCTAGGAAACGAGTTCCTGATTTGGCGAGTTCAGAAACATTCCAAAGCCCACTATGCGGGGCATTGCAGTCAACCTATGAGGATATTGACCCTAACCATAATTAGGTGCTGTGATGCTTTGGAGCACGCAATCGGAAGCCACTGGTTTTCAGAACCGTCAATGTTACTCCTATCTCCTCTGTCTCAAAGTCCAACTCATTTAAACGATCGATTAAACCACAGAACTAACACAGCCCGTGTGCGGACAGGGGGGTGTGGTGGAACCAGACACTTCAGGAAATAGAAGTAGTTGGTGAGGCTAGGAATGCACGGAAGTTGTTCCAAGTAGTTCGCAAAACAGGAATTAGAGAGTCTTCTGAAACTGAGTTCATCAAAGTTCATGTTGAAGGCATACGATATAATAAAGACAAACGTCTGGATCACTGGACGCAAATTTTTAACAATAGTCTAGTTGTTCCTCCATCCAGTGCCTGTTTTTCATTTGACCCATTCATTTTGAGCGTGGCCTGTGAATCTGATCCCCATGAGTTAATGGAGTACTAATATACTTTTCATAGCAGATTCATCGGTCTACTAAGCCAGATGAACTAGCACCAAGGTGGATCGAAAATGGAGAGGAACCTTCGTGTTATTCCTTGACAGGGTCACTCATTCGCACGTGAAACAACTTGCGCCAACTTGTGTCTGAAACCAATTTGAAGCCAAGGTACTTACAGAAAAGATAACTATGGGACTGGAATCTATAATTATGAGAATTGGCCGCTTTAATCCGAGGACCTTAGGCGACTTTGGCCGTTTTTTACTGGTGTCTCTGTAGCATATCAAGATTAAGCTGGCTGCAGCGAGCGCCCAACGAAGTGGTGCGCAAGCCAGCATTCGTCAGCAAATCTTTAGACCAACAGATTAAACTTATCAGGCCAATGTGGTTGGGGTATGTATTACATATGCCTAACCACCGCCTTCCAAACAAGCTGTTGTTTTCTGTTCCCAGCGGTTCTTGGAGCAAGGTTTGCGAGGGACAGGCCATGAAGCCCCAACCATCCTGCTTACACGAGGTTGGAAACTTTGCAGGACTTAGCACGCGGTCGGCTACAGTGGCACGTATGCTTTAATTTCTTGGACTTACTGTCTTGAAAAAGTCCACCTGTTGTCGTGCAATGGAGTTATTTCGGTTGAGGTTCGCAAACGCTGGGTCGATCCTATTGATGGTGCCTAACTTGGACATAATGCCCAGATGTGTTTAATTTAATACTATGTTAAAAATGTAAGCAAATTATTATGGCACAATTTTCTTAAGGAAATAGGGCCTTTCCGTACCAGGTCCCTTCCCTTCCCACTTCTCTGTATGCCTTATTAAGTGTTTCTTCATGGCTGTATGGCAGTTAAACAGTGATGATGGTGATGATTCACCAACGTGATATCTGATACAAAGCACCGGAAAAGGACTAGAAGCCTTGATGAGGAGTATGAATTTATGATGCTGCATCAGGAGACTGACCTGTTCGTCAGAAGCATGAGCCTTTGTTGGGACAGTGTGCAACGCAAGGCTTTACGAATACCCATTCCGCGGCATCGGAAATTCTCTCAAGGATTTTGGTGTGCTTTGATTATAAAAGGCAGAAGACATGCGTGTGGCACCGAAGGACGGACGATTCTGGTGAGCATCAGCTCAACTACTTCAGTGACATTCCGCTTTCATTAACAATGGTCCATTTTTTAATTTGTCGTTTAACTAGAGGGATAGTGCAAGGTCGAACAGTAGTTCTGGATGTCTTTGTTCACCATAGCGGCCGTTACGTCGAGTTGTTCTACCTGAGCACCTCCAACATTTGTCGTATTGCTCGTAACTCAAGCATGGTGAATGCGTTTGGTGTCAAGATCAAGAGACAGACGTTGGTCCAGTATGCTCAATCACCCGCGCATAGTTAACTGTTGTTCTGTCGGCCTTGGTTACCACCGGGATTCTTGGGAATGCGTGCACCTATGTAAAGCACGGTAATAAGGCATCTTCAGGACGGCGTATATGAAATTCATCTACCTATCCAACACGTGGTGTACAAGGTAGGTGAAGTATACCTGCGGTGCCTCGATCGACAGTAAACAAGACTGCACTTCCAGTGCTCACACGGGCACCACCACAGCGCTATGAACGACCACCGCTGATATTAGTAGTTACTTATAAAGTGTTCGCTTTGCACACTGCAATGATGTACAGCCACAGTTTGTAGCGACAATGTCCATGTAGTGCAGTTGTCCGGTCAGATAAAGTTAAAAAATGGAGGAGGAGTTCTCTGCAATCTTCCCCAACATCCATACAATGCAAGCAGATTGAGAGTCTCACGGTCCATGAACTAATAATGTATTGCTCAGCAGTTTCATCCTTATTGGGAATCATCAGCAGTGCGCATCTCACGAAACTCCGAAGAGTCTCGAACCCGCGACCTCCCGGCTAGTAGTTTGAACACTTAACCGTTCGGCCACGAGTGGCAGCATAGATTGGCTTTACTTACAGGACGAAATCTCCACAAAAAATCCCAAATCTCCTCATACTACCAACAGTATTGCTCAGCAGTTGATACGAACTCTTCTGAAAAGATGGTGATTTCCCAATTGTTTACGAGTGTCTTTGCAACTGAATAAATACGTGTATCAATAAATACGGATATCATTTGAGTTACATTCACTCTGGTTTTGTGGAGCAGTATACACCTTAGTATTGATACAATCCTCAGTGATTTCAAATGAAAATTAAATTAAATTAATCCTTCCCATATGGGTTTTACTGAACTCTCTCTTAATTGGATGTAAAGGACCAACCCGTTCTTACTGAAAAATTCATAGCGTTTTGGCTACCTATTGAAACCGTGTCCTTTTTTGTTGAGGCCAAGGAAACAAAGATGACAAAAATTGCAGTGATCACAAGTCATTTATTGATAGATCATTGGAGTTTTTCACTTCAGCGTGCAACCTAGATAAGTTTCTTTTTCTGTTCCAAAGGTGTGATAAAATGAATGAATGTATACATTAATAATGATCAATATCAAGATAATCTGGATGATACACAAAATGAATACACCTGATCGTTGGGTTACTTAACAACAAACAGAAAAATATCATCATTTATAAACTTCTAGAATAATGACCGATCAATAGTTAGCAGTGAACATTTATTATGCGTAGGCTAGGTGAGTGCTATTGCACTTCGGTGTATCCGACGGTCGTTCGTTGAGGCGCAGTGGGGCCCACCTCGGGAACTTCTTTGTGGCGATCGTTACATGGAGCTGAGTTTTCAGGTGGATGCCTGTGGTATAACAAATATGTGGTCAATTACTTTTGAGGTTTCTGATGGTTAGAAAGTAAACAAAAATCAATGTAAGAAAACCACTGATTAGTGAATAAAACCGTAGGTTTTCGAAAAAAAGCGCTTCTATTAGCAGCTCATTCCTCCCCATGCACCCTGGGAATTCTTCGCATCATGCACCGTTCTGTTCTTTTCATTTATAGGTAAGAAACTAAATGTTTATGAGCTAGCAAAAAGCCCACGCTACGGCTTTTCGAACACAAACGAGGTGATCGACAATGTAGGGTGAAATTCACTCAACATATTCCCGTTACATGTCCCTATACTCGACATTTTACCTGGGATCTTCGGGAATGAAAACTATTCTTCGGTCTAGCAATTAACCAACACTTCCCTCTCCGAGCAACTGTGAGGTGTTCTATTGAATAGGTTGAATCCCATCTTCCTACATATCACAAGATAGAATTCGTTTAGCTTTTTAATGTTAAATAGCTAAGCTACAAGCTCAAGTTAACGAGCGAAAGCGTCCCGTGATGTACTTAATTAAGTGTGATTAGATAAGAATTGGTTTAAGAGTGAACCATGTACGATATGGAGGGAAAAACAAATTCGATGGCAATCATCAGCGCAAGAAACAGGGGGAAAAATGAAAGTGTCTTTTAGGAAGTGGATCTCATTGAGTACTTAAACCACTTCATGTGTTCCATAACTAGCCCTCAATGACAACGGACGCTTTTTCGAAGGGACTTTTGTTTAGTGAAGGGTCATTTCACAATATATATATATATATATATATAATATATTGAGCACTATGATCAAAACGCCCATGCTTTAGGAGAAAGTCAGACTGAGGAAAGTGTTCAGCCATGCTGATTTTCCAATTTTCGTCCAATATGAAGTGTTCCAATAGCCAAGTTTGGCCTGCTCCAGTTAGCCGACAATCCTGCTCGGGGCGACGCCGTCACCACGTGCAGAACGCGACGACAGGGTGCCGAGACCGATTATTCTGAATGGTATGCACTGACTTCTTGGTTGACCCAACTGTAGGACAGACGATCACGTGATCGCCTGGTGAATGCGTTTATCCGATACACGTATTAGCGCTTCATGTTGCTCCACCTTTCCTGTGTCCGCCCAGGCAGAGAGAGAGGAAGGCAGATAGATTGACATTGATCCAAAAGGCGGCACGAAATGGTATGTTTTCCAACCATTCTAGCGCCACGCAAGATCAGGACAAGATAGACGTGTGTTCGTTTTCAACACATTTTGTGGACACAGTAGACGGCTGGGGCGTTGTTTACGCCTAACTTCTTGCCGGCATTCAGTAGTATACGGCGAAGCACAAAAGTGGGTCACGCTATAACTTCCATTACCCTTTGGCGCTTCCAGCTCCAAAACCCTGCCGATTTCGGACCGGAACGAGTTGCACAATCGCTGTGTAGGGGATTGGTTGCCCTTTCTGAAAACCTCCACCATTCAAGCTGTGACCGCGGATATTCGCCTTGCAGCAGTCTACAGTTTAGGACTTTGGACGGAAATTTTGAACAGCAACATTACTGAAGTCTATATTTCCAAAATTAAGAATAATGTGATGGTGTGAAACAACAGGAAGAGTCGCGCCGGCACAGGAGAGCGGTGCGGAAATAAAGTGTCATATGTAGTTTTAGGACAGGCTTCCATAGTACCAAATCCAAACTTATCCACGTGACTACTGACTGACACGCGTCTGAAATATCAAATAATCGATATTGAATCGGCTGTATAGTCACAAGGCCTGTGTTTTTCGAATGGTACCTAGCTCTCATGTTCCCGATGCTATTCTCAAAAGGTTGATTCAGAACAGACAATCGATTTGTTTTACGTACCATGCATTCACTTATGTAAGCAAGACAATGCACCATGGCGAATGGCCAGAGCACCTCGGTCCTTTGTCTGTTCAATCAGTATCGAACGCGGTGTTTGCAGTTAAGCTTTCGCTGTTGCTGAAATTTGCGGCTATGTGTCGCTCCATTTGAGCCGACGATTTAGTAATGCACTTTGCGGTGTTGCTATTGCCTTCAGGTCCATGATATGACAACGCGTGTTCAGTGACATACTAGCCGATAGTGCGGGGACGACTGCAGGTTGCGAACATGACACGCGCGTAAGAGGCTTCCGATCTGATTGGCCATCAGCCGTGGTTTACGTCATTGCTGTAACCTCGCTTTGCTACCCAGCCTGGTTACAACAATTCGCTATCGGACGTCCCTCTAACGATGTATAGACCTGACCTAATACATGCTCTTTAGATGCAGCTGTCATCCCGCATCTGTAGTGGACAAGGCGAATGGACTGACTGAACCGTTTCAGGCCGCCTACGAATCCCAAGGCGTGGTCAATTATCAGTGAAGCAACGAAGGTGACAGTGGAATGTAAAAATGCTGGCGACACATTGGCTAATGCATGCGAATGCTGAATTTGTGATCGTAACAGCACTAGACTATTCAGACTGTTCACATCGGTCTACGACAAAAACTGAAGCTTAATGAAAACACTGTAATCACTATTAATTTACTAGCCACCAATTAATTACAAGAACATACAAGCGTTCTTTGCTCGGCACCAATTTGACTACCACTTGTTTTAAACTTGTCTTTAGGTAACGACTCTTAATGTGGGGTTTTGTGTTTAGTTTCACAGGTCTTCGTAATAAGAAGTTGCGGTATATTCTAGGGAAGAAACTGAGTTAAACATCGGAGAGTATTTTTCTCCGATGTTCGCGTGTTGAAGATAAGCACGAGTGTCCTCTCAGGAAATACCGCTTGGAAGACTCTATCAAGAGGGGTCTTCTGCGAGAGAATCTGTTATGGAAATGCGCTTAAAGGGAGCAAATGAAAATACTCCGGTGGTGTGATATACTGAGTACGAAAATCCATCCTGTGGGAGTTCAGCCGATTACCTTGTCAGTGCTGTGGGGGCAACGCCAGTTTAGACGGGCGGAACATACCCGAATTGGGATACAGCATAGTATGAATCGATCCGCCTCACCACGCCCAAATACCGGAGACAGATGCATGATCGATACTGGTTTCATCGACGCTGGTTTTATCCCTGAAAGTGGGCATCATACCAACCGGCGGCTGCGTTGCACATCGTGTACAAGACGACGAAAGGCGAAATAGCACAGTTTGCCAAATTTATTGTTATCAGTGCTATATAAACAGGAGGAATCGATATTACCGTTCGGACTGTCTTGAGGACTGACTTGCTTTCGATATCCAGAAGGTAAAGACACCTGTTCTGTCTCATTTACTTATCTGACACTCAAAGAAATGTTGTAAAATACACTCGGTGTATCGTTCAGCCACTCATTTCTCTGTGCTCTCCTTGTGTTTGCAACAAGGAAGTCCTATTTCAAAATCAGCTCCTAATAAATTCTCCGTTCAATCAATTTTCAGTAGGAAAGATACTGAGCTTGGTAACAATTGCTGAAATTCTTTCCTACTGGCTTCCGATCCAAAACTTTAAACAAAGACACATGCCTATCGTACACCGGTCATAATCGAAATAGCTAAATGATTGACACGCCCTGAAGTCTAATACATCAGTCCAAAGTTGTGGGGGTGCTATTCTGCTGGATAGATTACTGGGGCATAAATTAGCGTGAGTCTCAGGAGCAGTAGGCACGCATGAAGTAACCATGCTGCAATTATTGGACAGGTTGGCTGTCTTCAGCTGATTGGTCAACAGTGGATGTGTTAAAACCGATGTAATCGATGATCTGTCTACTCAAAAGTCTTTGAGCATTTCTGGAACGACGCGCGTATAAGATAGGGAGCAGCGCAATTTATATGCGACACTATTTGCTCGAACCAAGATGTACGAACCGCAAAGTTTATCCAAGTTTGTCAGGCTGCATATCCTGGTGTGTTACGGAGTTGGTTTAGTCGAGAAAATGAGCAGAGTATCTGTAGGGTACGAAAAGCTAACTGATATGCATCAGTTTTAACCTGCCCCAAAACGGAAGGATTCAGTTACAGGCGATGCATACAACACCTTTACGCGTGCAATGTCTATTGATCCAACTGGTCCCTTCAACTCCCCTCATAACACAGATCTACAACCACTTCGTTGTGTTTAGCAATTATAGCGAATCCTAGTCTAACGGACAAACGATCCTGTTTGAGAATCGGCTATAACAGAAGCAGCAACTCAGTTGGGAAATCCGGAGATAGATCGGAGGTGGATAACTTGATAAGAGTGAACATACCAAAGCGTGTGGAATACCACTGGATAACTGGTCTCACATTGGTGATGTGTAGATGAGGAAGTAAATTACAGCAACAACATAAAATTCATACGCTTGCTCACTGCCGAGGAATTATAGACCAAGGGTAAGCCAACACTCATATGCGCCTAAAGGAGGGCAACTCAGTGATCGGCTTGCATTGAGTTTAATTGCTTGTCATCTGTGAGTATCAGCTACTCCAGGAAGCATGCTCAAACCGGTGCAGGTTACTGAAATGAACAATCTCATTACTGCGCTATTGATCTACTTCAGACTAATCCTGGGAGCCAACATTATCCTACTCATATTTGTCACCACTGGGATCTGCTGGAAAACAGTACCGAACAATTAAATTTGGTGTGCTATCTTGTGAATACCGAGGAACCTTACTCCGTTGGACGCGAAGACTGTATGTGTAGGTTATGGTTTATTTTATACCCCACTACCACACACTACTTAAACATCTTTCTTCCCTATGGTTTTCCACTCCGGCGTTCTTGTACCACCCAACATTCCGCAAAATTCCCCACGGCTTATGCGAACTACGGTGCTACCAATACGTTATGGCCATAAAACCTATTGGTTAGTACGGTGGATTTTTATGCTCGTGGTAAAAACACAGGCAAGGACTGCATTCAGATAAGCATTTGTTAAGAATGTCTGTTGTGGTTCAGAGGTCCGGTTATTGGAGGGAAAATGGTTGGCAGCATACAGAATTCTCGCATTCAAGCTG